CTGCTGAACATTCAAGGCACTAGTGGGGTGTCAGAACAATCGTCCACAATGCCAGATCTTCTTTATCACCAATTCTGCCACGTGACACGAGCACCTTGCTGCCCCACTCTAGAATAGTTCCTACCTGGAGGAGGTGCTCCTCTGCTCATGGGTGGGGGGGGACCCCCACGCCCTGGTGTGTACTGAGTTGGGGCTCCTGCGATGCTCGCAGTGGCTGCTGCAGCAGCAGCTGCAACTGTTCCACGACCCTGAGGTGTCATCACCTGTAAACAAAATAAATGGGTTCACAGAGAAACAGCACAACAGCTGCTTTAGATTAATAACTAAAAAAAATAAATCAAGATTTAAATTATTATCACTTCAGAAAATTACACGTCTCCTCTTAATGCATTAAATATACTACAAACCTGCAATACAATTCAATGGATACCACATGAAATCTGTGCAAGCTGCACTTTCCAAGACTCTTACTTCCACCATGTAAGACAGAGCTCCTAGGGGGATCCAATATCAAAAAAACCTCCCAAGGCTCAAAACTTCCTGGTAACAAAAACTAAAATCACAGTTCTCCACCAATTTTTTGTATCGCATTGGTACCAAGAAATAAAAGCCACCCCAGAATATACCAAACAACTCTTTTTTTTAAGGCAGCACAGCACTCACCTGCTGGGACGGTCCTCCCACTCCTCGGACAGGGCCAGCTAATCCTGCTGGAGCCTGTGGCATGGGTGCACCAGCTGGAACCCCTCTCCCTGCTGCTCTCCCAACTCCAGGTCCTCCAGCAGCTCCAGCAAGAGGTACCCGGGCAATTCCAGTCTGCAAACAGATCCCCCCAAAGAAAGATTTATCAATATGAGTCCACAGGTCCTAGGCATGCCCACCGCCCGCCTCTGATTCACGTCCGAGCCCACAAAGGGATCAGAACTTCCTGCAGTGCAATTCATTGGACTCAGTCACAACAGCACCCAGAGGCCTAGGACAATACCGCAGCAGCATCCTCCTGCAAGGGAAAAAATTTATCAGACGCCCCTTTCCTTTCTCCTCAGTTCTGTACTCATTCTCCTTACATCTTTTGGAGGTGGGCCTTCAACTGTCATGGACACCAGGTTTTCTCCCCGTAGCAACACAAGACCAAGGACTCGTTTCTCTTCCCGCTCTGGCTGTTTTGAATTTTTAGGTCTAGTGACAAGAAAACATCAAAAGACACGAGAAAAAAAAAATCAATGCCGCTCTTTGAACTCGCAATAAAATATATGACTGGGCTACTCCGAAAAGGAGAGGCTGATAGGGAAGAACGGGAACAAGGCACCCCTCGACCCCCGGCAGTGCGCGGATTTGACAAATGATGCCAAAACCACGCTGGCAGCAGAGCGGT